CACTTGCGGCTTTTTTCTTTTTGCTTATGTGGTGCTGAGGAATTGAACCCAGGGCCTCATGCATGCAAGGCAAGCGCTCTACCACTGAGCTACCTTCCCCACCCCGGTTCACAGCTCTTGAGTTCTGAACTCCCCTTGGCCCTGTGAGGGGAAGGGAAGCACCTGCTCCCACTATTGATGTCATCCTGGTGAGAGTGCTGGTGACAGGCTGGGGAGGGCAGCGGAAGCCAAGGACAGTGACTGACTGGAGCTGACAGCTAGGCTGTGTGGACCTCCTTCGGTGGGTGTTGGTCCGTGCTGGTCCTGGGGCTTGAACTCAGGGCCTGCCTACTGTCCCTGAGGCTTTTGCTCAAGGCCAGTGCTCTACCACTTGAGTTATAGCTCAAGTTTACTGGAGATAAGTCTCGGATTTCACTGCCCGGGCTGGCTTTGAACCACAATCCTCAGACCTCAGCCTCCTGAGTAGGGATTGCAGGTGTGAGCCACCAGCGCCTGCCTGAGTCCACTCTAGTAAGTACTTAAGCTGGTGGGGGTGGGGTGGGAATCCATCTGCTGATGAAGACCTTGTCTCATTCCCAACAGCCCTGGCAGCTGAGGCCCTGCATAGAGACACAGAGAAGGGGACACCAGGCTGGCTTTTAAGTGTTTAATGACTGGCTATTATAGCCTACACCCCCATCCCTGGCGGCTCTGTCCTCAGCAAGCAGTTGGTAGAGATCCCTTAGTTTCAGGAGGTAGTCCTGGGACTTGGGCCTTTGAAAGGTTTCTGTTCTCATAACCTGGGGGTCAGGGAGACAGGTCATTCTTGCTGGTCTGTCCTGTTCCCCCACCCATGCTGCCTCTCATACCTGTGGCTCATTGGTGGGGTCTGCAGGGAGGGGGTCCTAAGCACCCGGCTTCTGGGTGCTGCACATCTCACAGCCAGGGCGGCTTGGGGCATTGATGAATGTGCAAGAAGGACATGGCCAGCCAGGCTAGAGGAACAGGGGAGATGTTGCTTCCCTGCTCCCACAGCTGCTGAGGCCTTCCCCTCCCCCGCAGCTCTGGTCCCCTACCCACCTGAAGGGGACTGGGGAGGCTGGGACTCACTGGCTTGGGGGCAGAGGGTAGCCCTGCTGGCTGGGGAAACAAGCATCTTGGTTCTTCGTCCATCTTCTGAGAGTGTTGAGTACCGCCTCCTATGGCAGAGGAGGCGGCTCAGGGCTGTCTCAGGTTGCACCCCACTCACCTCCTGCTCCCTATCAAGAACTGACCTGAGGCTTCTCGGGGGACTGTGAGCAAGTAGAGATAGGCAGGGTCTCCATCCTGCCGGACCCCATAGGAAGCAAGGCTATGCTCAGGCATACAGAGACACTGCCCAATGATCCAGCGCTGCACAGCTGGCGGGAAACCAAATTCCGAGAACACCTGCGGCCAAAGGACCAGGCTAGACAGTGTCACTGGACTCCCTCCTCCCCATGCGGGCTCTGAAGTCCATGCTTACCTGCTCCTGAAGAGCTGCGACGGTGCAGTGGGGGTGGATCTCGAGTGAAATGTGGGCAGGAGAGGCAGAGGACGCAGCAGATGTGGCATCCTCAACCGTTACTTGCAGCCTGGGTGAGAGTGTAGGTCAGGGTTGCACAGGCAGCCGGAGGGTGGGGGGAGGAGGGCCAGGCCTCACCTGACCGGACCCGGTGGGAAGCAGGCTTCCAGGAGCTGGATACTGAGAGCCACCTGACGCTGGGCCAGGATCGCTGCCACCTGGGCTGCCCCTTTCTGGTCCCCACCTGCAACAGCTTGGGCCAAGCGCTTGGCCAGCTCTTCTACAGGGGGAGGGGAGGGGAGGGAAGTGTTGCAGCCAGGCAGCAGCCACTCTGACCCCCCCCCCCCCCCGCCTTCCCCTACCTTTTTCAGCCAATTCTCCAGGGCTCTGGGGAAGGTCCACCTCGAGGAGTTGGGACCCTGTGGGTGTTGGGCACTTCTCTGCACCCAGGGCTAGGGCTGGGCTGCCACTGCCTAAGAAGGAAGATGTGGAGTTGGCTGACAGCCTCCACCCAGACCTCTCCCAGGCCTCACTCCTCATTTGTCTGCAGGCTGTATTTCCAGGCGAAGGCTTCCCCTCCCAGCTTGGCCTTCAGAGCTCCTGCCTGACTTCTTTGGTGCAGAAGCTACAATTTTTGGCAAAGTGAACCTGGAGTTGTCCTAAACCTTTCTGGTGCCTGGCCCTACCTGTGCCCCTTCTCCACAAAGCAGATCCAATAATAGGTCTGCAGTGGGTGACCTCTCCCTTGGTGTCCTGAAGGATCCCTGTTCTCCTGGTCCTCCTCCTGCAGAGAATACATTTGTAGTGCCTGTCCTGGACCTCTGGACCACTTCCTCTACCCCACACTCGAGCCCAACAGTGCAACAAGGGGTCTCCAACCAGCGCTGACGCAGCTCCTGCAGCACCCTCAACAGTCTCCCCACTATAAGTAGGACCCTCTAAACACCTGGTGCTGTACCTGTGCCCTAAAGATTGCTGCACAGATCTCTCAGGGCGGTGTATGTACACTGGTTCTTGACCTCAGGGCCTGGACACTGTCCCTTAGCTGAATTCACGCAGTCTAGCACTCTGCCTGCCACTTGAACACAGCTTGCTTCCAGCATTTTGGTGGCTTTGTCCAGTTGGACATAAGACTTTCACAGACTTTCCTGTCCAGGCTGGCTTTGAACCACGATCCTCAGCTCTCGGCCACCTGAGTAGCTAGGATTATAGGAGTAAGCACCTACTTGCTTCTTACCCAAGGTGTTCCTTTGCCACCCTACTATTTTAAGTAGCATTCCTCTCTGCTAACATTCTTTTTTTTTTTTTTTTGGGGGGGGGGGTCTGGTCATGGGGCCTGAACTCTGGGCCTGGGCGCTGTCCCTCAGCTCTTCAGCTCAAGGTTAGCACTCTATCACTTGAGCCACAGCGCCACTTCCAGCTTTTTTCTTTTTTCTTATGTGGTGCTGAGGAATTGAACCCAGGACCTCATGCATGCAAGGCAAGCACTCTACCACTGAGCCACCTTCCCAGCCCCTCTGCTAACATTCTTAGATCTCATCTTCACCATTTAACTGAAACTTATAGAAATGTAAGCTCCAAGAGGATGGAAATTTGAGATTCTGTCCATGTTAAAGTGCCCAGTACAGAGCAGTGGCCAAGTACATATGTTTTGTGGATAAATTACTGAAATAAATCTCCTTTTACGACACTGAGCTTCCTGAGGCTAGCTTTCCTACCCTCCTCCTGGAGCACTGTCTTTATGCCAGGCCCTCTCTATACTTCTGGTTTATCTCTCCAGAGTCCCTAGCACCTCATGCCCCCCACTAACGGGACCTATGTAGGACCCCTGCACTACCTGGTACTCTCCTCCTCAATCTTGACCACTGACTCATGTAGACAGTAACCTCTTCCTTGGTGCCCTGAAACTCTCCTGAGAACCTGTGGAAGCATCCTTTTAGTCGTACCTGCACCACCTCATTATGACTGCAGAGATTCCTGTCTTAAGTAGCGCGGACCTGAGCCTGCCCTGAACACCCTCTTCTGAACGCATTCATCTGCTCACCCTGGGCCTGCTTGCTCTTCCTTTTCATCATTGTCTGACATTCCAGGCGCTAGCTCCTCAACCTCTAATCTGTCCACTTTCTCCCTCCTGGAAGCCTTCCCAGATGCCCAGCTTGTCCCATCTCTGTCTCCAGCCACGGTTACTCCAGATGAGACCTCCTTCCAGGGCACTACCATTCTGTCCCTCCGCGGTGGCACCTTGCACCAGGGCTGCCCACCGCTGAGCTTCCTGAGGGCTGAGGAACTGCAGGCTGAGGGGTCCGGGTGCTCCTGGAGGCTGCAGTTCATGCTGGCTGGGGCCACGGACCGTGTAGGAGACAGACTCCAAGGGCCACTCCAAGCCGACCTAGAGCGCAGGAGTCCAAGGTCAGTGTTCTTCACTCTAAACAGTGAGATGGTTTTTTTGGGGGGTGGGGTTTGAACTCAGGGCCTGGACGCTGTCTCAGCCGTTTCGCTCAAGGCCAGCGCTCTACCGCTAGAGCCAAGCTCCACTTCCGGTTTTCTGGTGGTTCACTGCAGGTGAGAGTCTCACGGACTTTCCTGCCCGGGCTGGCTTTGAACCGCGATCCTCAGATCTCAGCCTCCTGAGTGGCTAGGATGACAGGCGCGAGCCACCAGCGCCCGGCTCCGATTCCCTAAGCTCTCACGCTACCATCTTGCCAAGTCCTCACAAAAACTGCCCCGCCGGTGCACGCGTGACAGGCGGGGTGGCCGCTGGCCGGCGCGGTCCCGGCCCCGGCCCCGCCCTACTCACCCCGGATCCCGACCCCAGCAGCTCCAGGCGGAAGCGCCCGGGCCGCTCCGGGTCCG